GCAACGCAGCTAGGCCCATCTAGTGTTTTTTAAGAAGGCTGGGGATGTAGCTCGGTGCGAAGGCTCTGAGTTCAAGCTCCAGCACCGCTAAGGAGAGAGAGGGAGGCAGATTCCCCAGGAAACCGCGGGATCGCGGACAAAGGTGGAGAGGCCGGCAGGGCTCGACTCACTCGTTGAAGCAGTGCGCGGCAGACACGAGCCACCGGGCGCCCACCACGGTGGCGCCGCAGAAGTGCTCGGTGTTCTCGCGCAGGCTGACCTGCCAGGGGAACTCGCCCGGGGCTGCCTCCGCACCGCCCACGATCCGGCCCGCCGCCCGCCAGGCCGGCCGCAGCCCGCACTCTGCAAGACAGGACGGCCCGTGCTGGGACCCGCACCCAGCTCCGGCCTCAGTTCCCCTGCGCACGCCTGGCCTCCCGGGACCCAGGGAGGCTGAGGCAGGAGGATCTCTGCGAGTTCGAGACCAGTCTGGGCTACAAAGTGAGCTCAAGGCCAGCCTGCACTGCATAGCGAGACCCTGTCTCAAAGACAAAAATAAACAAATATGAGTTAGGGCGATAGCTCAGCTAACTTCCTGGCAAGCGCAAAGTCCTGAGTTCAATCCCTGGTACCAAAAAATAAGCCAATAACAACTATAAGAACGCTTTTGTACTCCGCGTTCGCCACTGAGCAGATCGGACTTCGCTTCCTCGTGCACCTCGCCTCGCTTCCTCGCGACCATGTCTGACAAACCCGATATGGCTGAGATCGAGAAATTCGATAAGTCGAAATTGAAGAAGACAGAAACGCAAGAGAAAAATCCTCTGCCTTCGAAAGAAACAATTGAACAAGAGAAGCAAACAGGCGAATCCTAATGAGGATATGCACTGTACATTCCACAAGCATTGCCTTCTTATTTTACTTCTTTTAGCTGTTTAACTTTGTAAGATGCAAAGAGGTTGGATCAAGTTTAAATGACTGTGCTGCCCCTTTCACATTCGAACTACTGACAACGAAGGCCTCGCCTGCCTCCCCCATTGGCCTGTGTGGCTGGCAGGGAAGGAGAAGAGCTTGCATGTTGGTGGAGGAAGAAGCTGGGTGGGAGGATGGTGAAATCTAGAGTGAAATTCAAGCTGGTCCAAGGTGTCCTGCAGGCTGTAAAATGCAGTTTAATCAGAGTGCCATTTTTTTTTTTTGTTCAAATGATTTTAATTATTGGAATGCACAATTTTTTTAATATGCAAATAAAAAGTTTTAAAACGTGAAAAAAAAAAAAGAACGCTTTTGTGCTCACTGACCTGAAGGTGGTTTTAGGGACCTCCCAGTCAAGAGTCCATAGTTTGAGGACACTGTCCTGTTCCCTGAACCATCACCCCATCTGTCTGTCCAAGCTGCACAACTACTTGGGGTTTTTTTGCTTTATTTTTTTTGGACACAGGGTTTCACAATGTAGCCCAGGCTGGTCTTTTGTTTGAACTCAGGCCCGTGCGCTTGCCAGGGAAGCGCTTATTCCACCGAGCCATCTCCCCGGCCCCCTATCTTTTTTCCCCCAAGGCTAGTCTTGAACTCACAGTGATTCTCCTACCTCAGCCTTTCCAGAGCCAGAATTATAGGCATGTACCACCATGCCCATCTCTGGCCCAAACCAACCTTTGCAGCCTGATTTCTGTTCTTATGTCATCAAGGGCTCTGTACACCACACCCCGGGACACATTTGTCCCCTTCAGAATACCCGCTCCTGTCCCCTACATAGCTCCAAGAAACCCCAGGCCTGAGCCCTGACAGGCACCCACTGACCACAGAGCTCCTCATCTGAGCCGTCAGAGCAGTCGGCCCGGTCATCACACTCGGGGTTCACTTTGGTCACACATTGGCTGCTGCGGCAGGCGAAGGAGTTCTCAGGACAGTGCCCTGGGGACAGAGAAGAGGCCAGGTCACCACCTCATCTCCTGGGGCCACAGGGCAGGGGGTGAATCTGCACAACTCTCCCGGCATGCAGAACACTGGGCTCTACCCATAGTGCTGCAAATAATAATAAATAAATCGATAAATCCCAGAGCAGCAACACTGTCTCAATGTCGCCCTAGCTGTGGACAGGACCCAACACCCCTTCAGTGCTCCGGAGAGCAGTTTTCTGGCTACTGGCCATGGGGCACCTGGCCACACCCGATGCTTCTGCCACAGAGAGAAACCTACCTGATTTTAGGTCCTTGTCAGCCCCTGGTCCCTTCCGGCTTCCTAAGAAGAACAGAGGAGACAGGACTCACCAAGGGGAGCCCTGGTGACCTTTTACCTGGACAGCAGCCAAGTAAGGTGGAGAGGTGCACTGCCCACCCCAGGTCTACTCTAGCTAAAGTCAGACAGAATCAAAGCCAGGCACAAGGGTGCACACCTATTATCCTAGCTCCTCTGGAAGCTGAGGCAGGAGGATTTCAAGTTGAGGGATAGCTTAAATCACATAGTAAGATCCTATCTCAACCCATCCACCTAAAAAAAAAAAATTTTTTTTTACTTACTTTTTTTTTTTTTTTTTTTAATTTTTTTGTTTTTTTTTTTTTTTTTTTTTTAAATTTTTTTTTTTTTTTTTGCAGTACTGGAGATTGAACTCAGGACCCTGTGTTTGCCAGGCAAGCACTTATTCTAATGAGCTATGTCTCCAGCCCTCCAAAACATTTTTTTCAGGTAAAATCAAATGAAGCACTCTCTTTCCTGGCCATATGGCTACACCTCAGGCCTGACAACCACATGGGGCTTATAGCATGGGTTAAAGTGATAAATTTTTAGGGGGCTGGGAAGATGGCTCAGTAGAATAAGCACTTGCCTGGCAAGTGCAAGGGTCTGAGTTCAATCCCTGGTTCCGCAAAAAAAAAAAAAAAAAAAAGATAAACCTTGAATCTAACAATTGTCTGGTCTCTAATTATAGCAATTTTATTTATTTATATATTTTTGTTCTTTTGAGTCAAGATTCGCTCTATAGAGTCCAAGCTGACATCCAACTCACTATATAGCCCAGGCTGGCCTCAAACTCTTAGTGATCTTCTTGCCTCAGCCTCCTGAGTGCTGAAAGTAGTGTTCATCACCATGCCCAATGCATCATTTAGTTGTAAAACATAGCATTTCTATGTTACTCATTTGTATGACAATGGTAATTTGATGGCTGTAGACCAAATACAGCTCACTGGTTGTTGTTGCCAATAGTTTTATTGGTGGGGCCAGGGAGATGGCTCAGTGGAATAAGCGCTTCCCTGGCAAGCACAAGGGCCTGAGTTCAATCCCCGGTTCCGCAAAAAAAAAAAAAAAAGTTTTATTGGCACACAGTTTTATTGTTGTTACTCATAAAGTTTTATTGACATATGGCCACACCCACTCTTTCCTGCATAGAGCCCCCTTTATCTTCAAGGTATGTGTTCTAAGACCCTCAGTGGATGCCTAAAACCAAAGACAGAGCCAAATCCTGTATGTATCATAGCTTCCCTCCATACACACACCTATGCTTAGGTGTAATTCATAAATAAGACATGGAGTCAGCGAGGGTGAGATATCTCAGTGGTCTAAAGTGCCTGCTTAGTCAAGCTTAGGCAAGTGGAGGGACCGCAGTTCGATCTCCAGCACCACATGCTGCACTAGCCCTGCTCCACCCTAAATAAATAAATTAGGCATGGTGAGGGATTAACAAGAACTAACAATAACTAGGCATGGTGATGTAAACCTGTAATCCCAGCTCTTGAGGGGCTGAGGTTGGAGGATCACTGTGATTTCAAGACCAGCCTGGACTACAAAGTGAGCTCAAGGCCAGCCTGCACTGCATAGTGAGACCCTGTCTCAAAAAGACAAAAAACAACAACAACAAAAAACCCTTATAATAAAATAGCACCGGGGGCCGGGGAGGTGGCTCAGTGGAATAAGTGCTTCCCTGCAAGCGCAAGGGCCTGAGTGCAATCCCCGGTTCAAAAAAAATAGCACAGGATGAGAGTGTGGCTCAGCGCCATGTACCTGCTTGGTGTATGAGACCCTGGGTTCCATCCTACCACTGCAAAAAAAAAAAAAAAAAAGTAATACTGTAAAAAAAAAAAAAAGTTTTCCAGTATCACTACTTGTGCTTGGGCTATTACTATATAAAGTAAGTGGTATTTGAACTTTTTTTTTTCAATACTAGGCATTGAACCCAGGGCCTTCACAATGAACTCCATTCCCAGCCCTTTTTGAGACAGGGTCTCACTAAATTGCTAAGTCATCCAGGCTGGGCTCTTTCAATTCTCCTGTCTCAGCCTCCTGAATCTCTCCTGGAATTGCTTGTGTGGCCATGTATCTGACAAAACCTGATGTTTAATGCAATTTGAGGTGGCTCCCATCTTCAGGGTCTCAGTCTCTCCCACCTTCTCACCTATGAGCTCGGCTGACACAATGGTGCCATAGGCAGCCAGTGGGATGCCTCTTTCTTGAAGCTTCTCCCGGATACCCTGCTGCAATAATTCCTCCTCAAGGTCCAGACTCAGTGACTGGAGGGCTCGAAGCAAAAAGTGTAGCTGGAAACGCACTAAGACACTGGAATTTCCTTCCCTACAAATAAGAAGAGAAAGCCTTGGAGATGGAGGAGTTTCACTCTGCTGGAATCTTCCAGAAGCTTCTGGAATCTTCCAGCACCTTCTAGAACCTTCTGCAATCTTCTGGCATCTCTGATGTCTACCAAGTTTCCTTCACCAGCACAGAGCCCCAACTCACCTGTAACTGATGACTGTGCAGCTCACGCAGCTTGATTCTAACTCTGTCTCCTGGAAACTACTTAGAAACTACAACAGAGACAACACTAGTAAATGCTGAGCCCCATAGCATGGGGCAGAAGCCTGTCTGGCACTTGAAGGACCTGGTCACAGAGTAGGTTCTAAGGAAAGCTTAGTAAATGCAGTGAGTTCACAGAGCTGTGAACAGGACAGGGAGGGGGAGCTCTTCAAAGTTATTCTTATAAAAATATTGCTCCATTAGGCATGGTGGCGCACACTGGTATGCTCAGCACTGGGGAGAATGAGGCAGGAGGATCTCTGCGAGTTGGAGACCAGCCTGGGCTACAAAGTGAGCTCAAGGACAGCCTGAAATGCATCTTGAGATGCTGTCTCAAGAAGACCCAAAAAAAAATTTTTTTTTTTTGCTCCAGTCAGGCATGATAATCCAAGTCTGTTATTTTAGCTCTGGGAGTCTAAGGCAGGAGGAGCACAAATTTGAAGCCAGGTTGAGCATTCATTGACTTAAAGAGAGCCCATTTTAAAATGAAAAATCAAATGCTTTTCCACCGAGGAGAAATAAACACAGTGTGGTCCACCCAGGCGATGGACAGTTGCTGAGCTGTGAGCAGAATGAATCCCGCGTCTGGCTGTGTAACCGCGAGGGCTGCGGCAGCCTCTCAGGGAAGCGCACACCCCAGTGCGAGGGTGGGAACAGCCGCGGGAGGCCACAGATGGGTGAACGGACACGCCGCAAGGGCCTTCCCGCCCTTGAATTACTCAGCCAGGAAAGGAGCACGACTGTGACACTTGCCACAGTGGGACGGACCTTGAGGACGCCGAACGCCGAGCGCCGTGAGAGGCGCCAGACACAGAAGGAAATGCAGTGTGGGCTCTAGTGACAGAAAACACCCAGAACAGGCAAAACACAAGTGACCCACAACCGTGCCTGTCCGTTTTGTCTCCTAAACTCATTAGTTTTGCTTATTTGCCTTCCTTGTGAGCCTTCTGCCTCAGCCTCCCAGAGTGCTGGAGGACAGGCATGTGCCCAGCTCACGCTTACGAATGGAGGCGCCACCAGCCTGTTCTCCAGAGGCTGCTTCAGCCCATAGGACAGCTCTGAAGTCTTCACTAACGTGAAATCGATAGGCCGTCCAAGTGGCCCCAAATCTTTCAAGACTCTGTCCCCTGTCCCTGCATGCACCCGTTCGACCACCTCCCCAAATCCAGACTGTCACGCCCCCAGACCTGACAGCGCAGTAGCGCCGGGCCCATCAGGCCACGCCCCGACACTGGCCACGCCCACTCCCGGACACGCCCCCCGGCCTCCGCCCTGGTCTGCGCACCAGCTTCTCCAAGGCGGCGGTGAGCGTGCGGTGATAGTCCGAGTTGTCGCGTTGCAGCGCGCGGGCGAAGCGAATCCCCCGGAGTTCGGCGCTGTGCTCCACCTGGACGCCCTGAGTAGACAGCAGGGCTGCGGGCGACACCACCCCATGAGAGCCCGTGTGGGCCATCAGGCCTGGTCCCGCCCCTACCGCGGACCCGCGTGCCGGCTGGCGCAGGCCCTTTGCCCTGAGCTTCACACTCAGCCTTTTTTTTTTTTGGTTGAGCAGTGTCTCCCTGTGTAACCCAGGCTTGCCTTGAACTCTCTGCGTTCCTCCTGCCTCAGCGTCCCGAGTACCGAAATTGCAAGCACACGCCATCCCGCCGCGCTCTGATATATACGGTCTCGAAGTATATTTTAGGCTGACCTTGAGTTCACTATGTAGCCCTGGATTGAACCACACGTGCCGCTCTGGTCCCGCCCCTAGGCGCACTGAGTGGGCCATGGAGTCCAGGCGCGGTGGTGCACGCCTGTTAAACCCAGCGCTGGGGAGGCTGAGGCAGCAGGATTACTGTGAGTTCAAGACCAGCCTGGGCTACAAAGTGAGTGCAAGGTCAACCTGAGTTGTATAGTGAGACCCTGTCTCAAAAAGACAAATGAAAATAAAAATAAAACATAAAAAGACCAAAAGTAAAAAGAAGAGGAAAGAGCAACCACTTATATTCCCATTTATAATCCCGCCACCCATAACCCACAAGTGAACAAATTTCACGTTTATTTTCCTTATTTATTTACTTTGTATTTGTCAGGCTGGGACGGAATCCAGGGCTTCACCCACACTGGGCTATTGCTCACCACTGAGCTGAACGCAGCCGTGTTTTCTTTTTTCCCCCGTATCATTGCTTTCATATTATTTAATGTAAAACACACCGCCACATGTGGTGCGTGCCTGTCAGCCCAGCACTCAGAAGGGTGAAGCAGGAGGATGGCCTCAAATTTGAGGTCAGCATGGGCTACCCAGTGAAAACTCTCAACAAAAGATAAAACATACAGAAAAGTGAAGCTTCTGTACAATGTGAAGGCTGCAGTATTTTGTTTGTTTTGTATTTAGGACGGGGCCTACAGGGTCCCTACATAGATCGGGCTCACAGTGATTCTTCTGTTTTCAGCCTTCCAAGCGCTGGGATTACAGGTGCGCACCACCATGCCCAGTCTCGATCGCAATCGCAGCCGTCTCAGCGTGCCCTGGAGGGCGGGTTGGCAAGGCATGCCAGGGAGGGAACCCGCAGGCCCTGAGCTCTGACTAAGCAGGTGCTTTAGTCCTCTGAGTTATCTGGCCAGCCCTGAAGGCTGCAGTTTTAAACCTAAATAAAACAGGGGCTTCCACGTTTAAATAGACAGCTACAGGATGACTAAGGTGCAGCCCAGTGCTGGCGCTTGCCGAGCACGCAGCAGGCCCTGAGTTCTGACCCCAGTGCTGCGAAAAGGTGGGCTGGGGAAGGGCCCAGAATAGTGGGAAGGCACTCCTGCCGGGAGCACCGTTCTGCCTATGTAATTATTTTCTATAAATCATTTTTATTTATTTATTTATTTATTCTGTGTGTGTGTGTGTGTGTGTGGCCAGCTCAGCCCACCAGGGGGCGGGGCTGGCTGGCATGTGGTGCTGGGGGATTGAACCGCGGTCCCTGTGCTTTTTGCCAAGCTTGTTTCAAGTAGGTGCTTTAGACCACTGAGCCATCTCTCCAGCCCACTATAAATCATTTTCCTGGGGGAAATTTCAGGGTCTAATTAACTGACTGTCTCTGGGACCAGAGAGAGAACCTTGAGCCATTAGACCTGGAAGAATGTTTATTGACCGATATATAAACGCCCTGTGAGAGGGGCTGATTTCTGAGCCTTGTGCACAGATGACACTCTTCCAAAAGTTTGCATTTGAAAAGTATATAAAAGTAGCTGAGGCACACGTGGGAGGCCGAGGCAGGAGGATCACAAAGTCAAGTAGAGCCTGAGCGACTTAACAAGACCCTGTCTCAAAATAAAAATTTAAAATTAAATTAAAAATATTTTCAAAGAGCACTGGGGGTAGAGGTGCGTGGTGAGCTTTTCCCTCGTGTGCACCGGGCCCTGGGTTCCAGCCCCAGCACAGCAAAAGGGAAGCTCAGTATGGTTTTGCCTGCGTGCTACCTGAAGGACAGGCTACAGAGCTTTCGGGAGCGTGCTTTGCCCCCTTCACTCTCTGTGCTCCTGCGGGACGTGCACCGTCTCCTTTTTATTCCCCAGTACTAAGGATGGAAGCCAGGGCCTGTGCGCAGAGCTCCATTGCCAGTCCTTCTAGTTTTGTACCGGAAATCAAACTCAGGCCCTTGCGCTTGCCAGGCATGCGCTGTGCCACTGAGAGCCACCCCCAGCCTGCTAGCTTTTATCTTGAGACAGGGTCTCACTAAGTCACTGAGTTTACCCAGGCTGGGCTCAAACTGGAGATCCTCCTGCCTCAGCCTCCCACGTGACAGAGGCGCACTGTCTCACTCAGTGTGGTCATTTATTTTTTTTTTTGGTACTGTTTCAAATTTCTCACAATTTAAAACAACTTCATGTCCCCATATCTATTTATCTCCATACAACCCAGTAGGATAAATCCCTGCACCCCAAAGCCTTTTGGCTGGGAGAGCAGAAATGGACCTACTCCTCGCTCCCCATCCACCTCTGGGTCCCAGTTGCCTGAGCTGTCCCCTCCTCCCCCTAGTGGCCCTATGCAGGAATACCACTGAGCCACGAGAGTGTCTTTGCCCCGACTGCCTGAGCCGTGAACCCAGCCGACCTCACGGCCACTTACCCAAAAGGACTCCCAGGCTGAGGGCAATCAAGCTGGAGGCCACTACCGTGGTGACAGCCCCACGACAGAACACAGAGTCTGCGGCTGGGATTTGCCTTGGGGCCCCAGGGACGAGCTGCAAGTCCGCTGCAGAGGGCTGCATGGCTCCAGGGGACAGCATGAGGATGGTGACCTAGACAGTTAAGGGACAGATGCCACAAGGCGCCACAGACAAGGGACAGATCAGGTCAGAGCTCAAAGCTGTGATGCTGCTGGCAAGATGGAGTTCACAGCTGGGTGTGGTGGCACAGGCCTGTCACCCCAGCACTCCGGAGGCTGAAGCAAGAGGCTACAGTGAGACCCTGCCTAAAGTAACTGCAAAGATATTGCACTGTTGCTCGGACTCCCCCCAGCTGCCCGGGGTCCCACAAGGTAGGACTGTGTTTCCTACAGCTGCTGTGACAGCTCGGTGGCTCAAAGGAGCACACGCATATTATCTTACAGTCTAGAAGGGCCCATCCCGGCTCCTAGAGGAGCCCTTGGCTGTGGCCCCGTCCTCCACCTGCAGAGCCAGCAGCACTGCCGGTTCAGCCTCTGTGGGCTTCTCACCCTCCCACACCTGCTCAGGGGCATCCTGGGCCCGGGGTCAGGATGACGCATTCTCAGGGTCCTTCACTTACTCACCCATAGGATCCTTTCTGCCGTGGGAGGTGGTGGCATGGCCCCAGGTCCCCAGCACTGGGACATAGCTGTCTTTGTGCCACACACACACATGCTAGGCAAGCACTCACCACGGGCCCTCAGGCTTGGCCCCATTCACTTTTATATGCTGAGACAAGGTCTTGGTATGTTGTCTAGACAGCCAGTGCTGTGAACTGAACGCTGGGTCTCTGCACAGAGCTCCAGCCCCAGCCCTTTTAAATTTTTTAAATGTTGAAGCATGTTTCACTAAGTTGCTAGGTTGCACAGGCTGGGGCTTCCTGTGATCCTCCTGCCTCAGCCTCCTAGAGTGCAGGGATGAAAGATGTGGGCCACCATTCTCAGCTACTGTGCTATTTTAGATAAGGGACATGAGCATCAAGCATCAGCTGATTTTGGTATCTGAGGGGGTCCTAGAACCAAGTCCCCCCAGAGACAAGGGAGGACTATGTGTGTGTCCACACACACACAGGCATGCACACTTAACGGCTTGTAGTCTCTGAAGGCCTTTGTCCCCAATATGTGTCTTAGTATGAACGCCTCTCTTTGCAATAGATGGGACATACTTATACTAGAACTTTTGTTGTTTGAAATGCAGGCCATGGGGGCCAGGGAGATGGCTCAGTGGAATAAGTCCTTCCCTGGCAAGCACAAGGGTCTGAGTTCAATCCCCGGTTCCACACACACCACACACACACACACACACACACACACACACACACACACACAAAATAATAATAATAATGAAATGCAGGCCAGGGCTGGAGAGATGGCTCAGTGGAATAAGTACTTCCCTGGCAAGTGCAAGGGTCTGAGTTCAATGCCTGGTTCCACCAAAAAAAAAAAAAAAAAAAAAGAGGTGAAATGCAGGCCAGGCCTGGTGGTGCACGCCCACCATCCCAGCACTCAGGAGGCTGAAGCAGGAGGATCACTGCTAGTCTGAACCAGCATGACCTAAATAGTATTGCATGACCTAAATAGTATTGGAGGCCAACCCAGACTACAAAGCAAAACCCTGCCTCATAAAACCAAAACCAGGGCTGGGTATATAGCTCAGCAATATAAGCGCCTGCCTGGCAAGGGCAAGGTCCTGAGTTCAATACCCAGTACTGCAAAAAATAAAAAATTAAAATTAAAAAAGGCTGGGTGTGGTTAAAAAAGGCTGGGTGTGGTGGAACACGCTGATAATCCCAGCACTCCAGAGGCTGAGGAAAGAGGATCACTGGGTTTGAAACCAGCCTGGGCTACAAAGTGAGCTCAAGGCCAGCCTGCACTGCATAGCGAGACCCTGGCTCAAAGACAGAAATAAATAAATAAACACACAACGAAATGCAAATGCTTGCGAGCAGGCGGTGTGCTTTTAGCTGACGCTGGCAGCTCCTCCCACCTGGCTCAGTGGGCGTGGTGGGAGCCAGGTCGTCCCAGCAGCTGCTCCTGCCTTCACTCCCCACTTTGAAGCTGAATCCCCTCGGGAGAGGCAGTGGACATCTAAAAGCAGTTGATGAAAAGTTTCAAGGACAGAAGGCCCGAGCCCCACTCAGCGCTCAGCGCTTCGGGTTGGACCCGTGTTCCGAGCGCCCAGCACACATTGCGCCACTGAACCGCAACTCCGCTCCCAAGCCCAGTGCCCCACAGCCGGCCGAAAGCGGCTTGTCATCATGGTCATTAGCCACAGAAAGGCACATTAGCCTCCTACCATTGAGCTCCAGCACAGAGCTCCATTCATCCGGGGCTCCACCCATCCACCACTCTGCAAGGGGACGAGGCCCTGGACAGGAGGATGCGACAATGCTAAGACCTGAGGGACCGAGACCCAGGCACAATGCAATCCCAGTGCAACAAGAAGTCCCACCCAAAGGGAGCCAGGGGACCTTAAGTCTCAGAAAGGGGCTGGGTTTGTTTGATAAGACAGGGTCTTGAAGTATAGCGCAGGGTGGCCTCGAACTTGCTATGTAGCCCAAAAGGTTCTCAGACTCACAGTGATCCTCCCACCCCAGCCTCCAGAGGGCTGGGATTACAGGTGTGCACCACCGTGCCGGGTCTCGGCGGCTGGCTGGGGGAGGGGGTGGGGTGCATGTGGTGCCAGGATCAAACCCCGGTCCCTGAGCCTGCCTAAGCAGGTGGTCAGTCCACTGAGCTATCTCGCCAGCCCAAGGTTGGAGTTTGTTTTGTTTTAAATGATCTAGAATTGAAAACTATAGCAATCGATATAAACTGTCAGTTTGTGGCCTAAACAAGAGCCTGAACATAGATGGAGGAAGACCTGATAGAGAGCTATGTATTACCCAGAATCAGCAGGGTAGAGGTGGAAGAACTGGGAGGGATAGAACAGATGTGGGGGATGCCCTCTCTCTTGTGGGAGTTCTGAGAGAGAAGGGAGAAAATGGAAGAGGCAAGATTAAGAGAAATTAGCTCTTAAATTTCTAATTAAGGCAGGAGGATTAAAAGTTCAAACCCAGCCTGGGCAATTGAGGGGTTTATTGAGACCCTGCTTCCAAAAAAAAAAATTTTTTTTTTAAAAAAAAGGGAATTACCTCAGTACATACATGATGGGTTTAATCCCAAGTACTAGAACAGATAGAGATTAGCTGAGACATTTTCCAGCATTGTTGAAAGATATGAATCCTCAGATGAGAGAGAGAGAGAGAGAGAGAGAGAGAGAGAGAGAGAGAGAGAGAGAGACCAGTAGCCAAAGCAGCAAAAACAGGAAAACAGGGCTGGGGAGGTAGATCAGAGGTCTAAGTACCTGCCTGGCAAGCACAAGGACCCGGATTCAATTCCCCAGACTGCATGCCCTGCTGGCCACTGAGACCAGGCCTGGTGGCGCACACCTGTAAACCCAGTGCTGTGGAGGCTGAGACAGGAAGATCACTATGAGTCCAAGCTGCAAAGTGAGACCCTGTACCAAATAAATAAATAAATAAATAAATAAATAAATAAATAAAAGATCAAAGAAGCAAAAACAAAAACAAATCCTCAGTTCAAATCTACAGAGGGCCGGGGAGATGGCTCAGTAGAATAAGCGCTTGCCTGGCAAGCTCAAGGACCTGAGTTCAATCCCTGGTTCTGGATTAAAAAAAAAGGGTGAATCTACAGAAATAAGGGCCAGAGACATAGCTCAGCAGCGTAAGTGCCAGCCTGCCAAGGACAAGGTCCTGAGCTTGATTCCCAGTACCAAAATAAAATAAAAAAGAGAAAGAGAAAAAAAATTGTGGAAGTAACTAGAAAATAAACACAGATTATCTACAAAGACATGCTGGTTGAGAACAACAGCAGATGTCTTAGGAGAAAGAAAAGGGACCAAAGAGAAGAAAATAATCTCTCTCTCTCTCTCTCTCTTTCTTTTTGCTTTTTTCCCCCCAGGGTCTTGCTGTAGAGTTCAGGCTGTCCCTGAACTATCTAGCCCAGACTAGCCTCATACTTGCAGCAACCCTCCTGCCTCAGCCTCCTAATGCGGGTTTCCAAGTGTGCACCACCACATCCCGCTGGAATAATATTTTCAAAAAAGCTGAAAGGAACTTAAATAATTGAAATTGAAAGTCAGTAATTCTATTCTTAGGGCTGGGGAGATGGCTCAGTGGAATAAGCACTTCCCTGGCAAGCGCAAGTGCCTGAGTTCAATCCCCGGTTCCGCAATAAAATAAAATAATAATTCTATTCTTGTACTCAGGAAACACAAACATTTCCAGGACTGATAAAGTTAGCCCAGACAGACTTCCATTGAAAAAGCTACTAAAGGGGCTGGAGAGATGGCTCAGTGGTCTAAAGCACCTACTTGAAACAAGCTTGGCAAAGCACAGGGACCACGGTTCGATCCCCAGCACCACATGCCAGCCAGACCCGCCCCCTGGTGGGCTGAGCTGGCCACACACACACACACACA